CATTCATCCACATCTGTAAAGTAACTAAAGGTATTAAATACATGTAGTGGAGTAGAAGTACACCATTTAACTATGAACTGTAGTGGAGTAGAAGTACACAGTAGCAAAACATTTAAATACTCCAGTAAAGTACAAGTACCTCAACATTTTACTCAAGTACAGTAGCCTACAATATTTTAACATAATTATATATTTTTCATTTTCAATTTGTTAGTTTTTTCCTTTAAAAAATAACAAAAAGTAAATACAAGAATACCGTTAAAGTACCGGATCAATAAGCAGTATCGATAAGACTATAGTACCGTAGAAAACCTTAACGATACCCATCCCTAGATATTACACAAGTAAAGTGTTAAGAGAGTGAAATGTTGCTTTATGAATTTCAACACTTGATGCTGTCACCTTGATTACAATGTCAGAAACCTGTATTTGCCTAACTGAATTGGTTTAAAGAGAGAAAACATTTTGACTAAAAGTTGACTAAAATGTAATTTTTCATCGACTAAAAGTAGACTAAAACGTTTTGAGTTTTCGTCGACTAAAACTAGACTAAAACTATGAAGGATAGAAATGACTAAAATGTGGCTAAAACTAATAACCATTTTCGTCTAAAGACTAAGACTAAGACTAAATCAAAAACAGCTGCCAAAATTAACACTGATATAGAGTCATTATTAATTTGTTTTAAAGCTCAATAAATAACAAAGAAGACCTTTGACCGGCACTTTTCTAATTAGAAAATCGGAAGATTTAAACTTTAACGGACATGTTGACCAGCGAAAAAAAATCGAACTGAAACTCTGCCGCACGGTCCCCTCGTTCCTTGGAAGAGGCGGAGAGGTGGGTGTTTGTCATCTGCTGGTGGACTAACCGGAGATAATTACAGTGCTTGCCTCGACGGGGAGGGATTGCATTGAATTACAGCAGCAGGAGCAAACGCTTGCCTCGGGGAGGGAGAAAAAGAGCCACAGCGGAGAATAAACAGAAGGGCAACCATGGCAACCATGCAAGGGAAGTCGGCAGACTACAGTGCCACTTACAGGCCTGGCATATGTACTACAGCGTCTCCAGCGCTTTCGAGCAATGGCCGGCCGTGGCCGAACCCCACATTCCCCTGATAGGTGGAGAGTTGGCCATATAGGCGGAGCTCCTCGTTCCTGACGTCAGAGAAATTTCAAATCTGTATCAGTCTGTATCAGATCCGTTGCAGCCCCGTTTTTAGAGATTTGGGTATGGAGGAAAAGAGAGAGGGTTGTGTTTTCTGACACTTGGTGAGTTCCCTGGAACACCGGGGACACATATTCATGTATAAAAGACGTACAAAAGTGCATTTTGCATGATAGGTCCCCTTTAAGCTAGCTTAGAGAAATATAAAAAGTGCTGCAATGAAAACCACATTTTACTTGAAAAGGTGGAAATATTAAAAGCCCTTTATCCTATTTTGTTTCCTAATACTGTAATTCTTGTGAGTATGGCATTTTATAAGTGTTTATTTTTCCTCCGTTGTTATCCAAATGTTATTCTCCTATGTGCACTTATTGTTACATCAATACGGATTTAAGTAGCAGCTAAACAGACTGTGTGGGAATACAAAGCGCCAGTGACAGGACACAACAAACAATCCCAGAGGTTTAAAGTCATACTCTTCACCCTACATGTAATCACTTCTCCTGCCTGTCACAAACCCAAAATCCATTTTCAAACCCATCGAGAAGCACTTGTGCTATCAGGTCAGAAGCAGGCTACAGCCTCCTTTATGCAGCATCAAAGGGAATATCTGCATACCCACAGATAGTCGAGTGGAATATTCCTTGGCCTCTGTGACTATGTTTGCCTCAACATGTCAACAGTAGTTCCAACCGTTAAACCATCTCCCCTCTTTCTCCACTCTGCCTGGGGGAAAGTAAAATAAAAATCTAATTAAAAACATAAAACTCAAGTAGAGCTGACCTCTTTCCTTGAAAAAAAAGTGTAAATGTTCTGCAAAGCTCATGTTAAAACAAGCTGATGTTGGACTTTACATTTTGTATAGGCAAACATATAACAATATGAAAAAAATGAAGTATTCTGCTACTGTATGAGAGAAGTTTTTTTTATCTTCAAGATTTGAACCAGGAAAACATCCAGAATTGATTGAGGCAGGCAGATATGGAGAGATCAATCTTCAAACTCTGGTCAGTGTTTTCATTTTAGGAGATGAAGAAATGTGTTACCTGCCAGAATTGCTGAACCTCAGGAGCAAAGCCTATTGAATAAAACAAACTTAAATGAACAGTTGGAGTGGAAGTCATTGAATGATGGTCTCAGTTTTTTGCCACAGAGGAGTTATGGACTGGTTGTACACTATGAAACCCAATAATCCAGATACGTTGAGATGAAAGCCGACATAAGCACATGCCAAATTCGAGACTGTGACTTTGACCATACAGTAGCCCTGAGCTGAATGGAATTGGTTTTCACAGCGGAGCTTTTAGGTTTATCAAATTTAACAGCAAAATTACCAAAAAAGGCCAAAATATTTTGGCACATGGCTTAAATGCATAGCTGTAGGGAGCGGAGAGCTCCTTTTTTTTTCTGTGATAGTCTTGTTCTGAGTCTGAATTTGGACAGTGTTTTTGCCATTAAGCATTTGAATGGACATGTTAAGGACTAGGCTCATAAAAGGGCTCTAAATACATACAGGTCTATAATCAAACAACTGAAAAAAATAGATAAAACATTATAAATGTATTCAAAAGGAAGAGGTAGGTTAATCTGTTCTTTGTTATATCTCTGTGGTTTTTACAAAAACAGTGATATGCTTCCAACACACACACACACACACACACACACACACACACACACACACACACACACACACACACACACACACACACACACACACACACACACACACAAAGAAACATGTATGATTCCTTTGACATCTGACTGATTTCCAACATTCTGTCGTTCTATCTCCTTATGGTTTGCATTCAGACAAGTTTAAACCTAATGTGCAGACGGAACATCCTTAATGTGGATTAGCTATGCATGGTGGTGTCTGCCAGGAATCATGCCCTCCCTAATGTGATATGACTGGAAGTGCTGCTGTGTGTGTGTGTGTGTGTGTGTGTGTGTGTGTGTGTGGTGTGTGTGTGTGTGTGTGTGTGTGTGTGTGTGTGTGTGTGTGTGTGTGTGTGTGTGTGTGTGTGTGTGTGTGTGTGTGTGTGTGTTTGTGTGTTTGCACAGATTTGACATTAAAACCATGCACTCTATAACTATGGCTTTACTTTCTTTAAGATCCATTTCCTAGAGATTATGAAAGACATGGAACCTGACCTGGAAAACTACATTTACAGAGAAGGACAGACTACCAACATGTACACCACACATGTGAAAGCAGCCACTGGTGGAATCAATTACAAATAATGTTTGTGTGCTTGTGAATAAAGGTAGCAGTGGCCCTAGACTTGATACTTTTAAATCAAAGTCATGATGGAGGGACTAGGCTGTTGGTTTGATAATAATGCTGACTGTTCATGCTGAGAGTGCACTTCTGCTAATGAGTGATAGCCAAGGAGTGTAGACTCTAATGATTTACTTTAAAGGACTGGTGATCCACAGTAACCCAGTGGTAATTTGTGAATGCCAGGATATTGATGGAGTAGAGCTAGTAAAGTGGAGTAGCGAATCGGGTATATGGATACACATTAGGTCTGTAATCCACTAACGAAATTCTGAATCAACAAGTCGATGAGATAATTAAATCGATAGATTAGTTAAACTCAAAAGAGAGTCAAGCAAAGCACCACTTTAAATGTTCTTTCTGAGGTGTAGTCAGAAGTTTCTCCAAAATAAGTAATGCACTATTTAAAAACATTTTGAACAAGGTTATTCGACTGATTAAGAGCCAGGAGTCCTAACTCACTGAACCATATGAATGTATAAAGTACGTCTAAATGTTTGCATGAGCACTGAATACATATCTTGTTTATGACACAGGAAGTGAAATTCGTCGGATGAAATCCTGGCATATTTTCAGTAACATCTGTAGATTGATTCATTGTTTGCCGCCACAACAAAAAAACTCCTTTCAATTTTTACAATAACAATGATTGTTTGATTAAATTCAACTTTAAGGGAGCCACTAAAATATGCTTTGGATGCCAGTGTTTGTGATCAGATCCAATTAAGAGTGCTGAGTTACGGTTTAAATGAGTGTGAATCCAGGTGAATATAGCAACTGATAAAAAAGCTAACAATGTACCATTCTCAGTGCTTAGCTACGGTTTCCCAGACAGACCTGACCCTGAGCTACAGACTTCATTGCCAAACTACAAATGATTTCAGTCTCTCATCTCGGTTGAGTGGGTGGCTGACAGTCACAGACTGATTTCCACAGTGATTGATGCTTGTGACAAGAGCTTGATAGATGGCAACATGCAACAAAACAATTGCTTTGTTTGTCTGTACAAGTCTATATCTGTTTCAACGTCAAACAAAAGTCAAAGCCCCACTGCAGCCTTCAAATGTATGCCTCACAGGTATCAGAACATCATTTGAGGGCAATTTTCCCTCAAACAAAGCATCAAAAGTGTTAACCTGTACCAAACCAAAGTGCTGCAGTCAGACATCAAAGACAACAGCCTCATCGCAGCATCGCCATGTTTCTGTGTTAGCGCAGACGTTGCACTGCCAAAAAATATACCTTAAGGATATTGGTAATGTTTGTTTATTCCTATGGGGGGTACATTTTTTTTTTTTAAACGAAAAAATGCGTAAGAATCATATTCAGAATCTATATTTATTTGACCATCTATCAAATTTGATCATTTTTTGCAGCATTTTCTCATGAAACGGCTGAAGTAATTGTATTTTAAGATATTGGTATTAAATAAATAGTGAAATGTGTAATATATAACAGGATTTTTGATGTAGGTGTTCTCTTCACATCACTTTTTACAGCGTGTTGCAGTGGCCCATTGCAGTGTGAGTATATCAGTGTGACAGTGAAGCGCTACCTTTGAAGAAGCAGTCCTTGCTGTGCACCACGTAGATCCGCCTCCTCTCCAGGCAGGCGGTGCGGTAAACCTCGCAGTGGTTCTCGTAGAACCTGCCGTCTGAACCACAGACCGGCACGAAGGAGGGCCGGCACTTTTCCTGGCAAACACACTCGGCACGGCCAGTGTCCGCCATCAGCACACACTGTCGACCCCGTCCACAGTAAGTTCTGCGACAGGGATCTCCATCTGGGTCAGAGAGGGCTGGAAGAGCGAGAGAGAAAAGGGAAAACAGCAAGAGTAAATAAGCAAGTCCATCAAATCTTAAAGAAAGAGAAAGAAACTTTCTACATCAATAATGTTTTACTTGTTTATATCAAATAAAATAACCACAAGTTGCACAATGACACACGCTGTTATGGGTCAGTAAAAGAACAGACAAACAAATAAAGAATGGAATGAATATATTAATATTAATAATATTATTAACCTACTTTGCTATCCCATCCACCGGCAATTGTGATTATGTTTTCATATAAAATAAATAGAAGCTATGATCCAATCAGGAATATCATATCATTTTGTATAAGCACTCAAATAATAAACCTAACGATAAAACAACTGCAAACGAAAACCTCACATTTTCTGAAATATATTCTAGTTTGAGGAAAATGAAAGGCTGATTCAAACACATACTGCATTAGTTATGCGCAGTAAAATATAACAAAAGTAACATATTAATTACCAGTAACAAGATCACTTTGTTAGTGAAAGTATGACCCAGAAATAGCAAAAGCGTAAACTCAAGCCAAACACCTCCGGATCGCAGTTATAGTACGGTGCTAACAAGGAGAAACTTTTGAAAATAAAACTTTCACCTGACAAATCCAACAGCCAGGTGTCCTGATTAACACCTCTCGGCTCTCATTTGCACATACATGTGAACATCCGTGCAATAACACACACAGATATGCATACTTGAGAGGTACACTGTAAAAGAGAGATGCACTGTTACGTACTCTAGAAACACACACACACAGTTTACCACCGTCATAGCAACTACTGTGTGTGATGGAAACTTCTGAAGCAATGGAGACGAGACTCAGAGAGACACGGGGGGGAGCAGGAACTTTGATGGCAAACACTGATGGTTTATTTGGAGCTTCGGCCAGAGAATTCACAAGACATGAGCTGTGCCACGAGTTGCCATAGCGGGTGCCAAACCAATTCTGAAGATCTCTACCCCGGACCCATGTATTTAGCTGGATCAGAGAGAATAATCAACATAGTGCATAACAAGATAAAACCATAACACCTCTATCAGCTGACGCCAATAGGCAGGAATAGGGAGACAAAACACTGAGAGAACAGCAGCCCAAGGTTGAAGGCCTGTGCTCCAGTGAGGGCAGTACAAACTGATAAACTTAGTCAAAGGTATGGGCCGAGAAAAACATTTCCCCAACACAGTGGGCCAACTCATAAATGCACACACAAATGCACACGCCAGCATCTCCATCACCACCGCTCACTGCCTCACCTTGCTTCTTCCCCTTGATTTAATCTATTTGCACTTAAAGCCAAAAAACTGCTGATCCAGCCAGATGCTGCCCCCTCCGATTGATCTCGCCTGACCGCGATGTCTTGTTGTGATCTGACGGTTGGATTTACGGCCGCTGTGCCTTGGGGTTATCACAGTTAAAACGACATGCTCAAGCAGGTACAGTACTAGCAGGGCATCTGGTGCCTCACAAACTCATCTGGCAAATGTCAATGGTAATGAATTAGAAATATGAAAACCTTCCTGGAGTTTGAGTATGAGAGTGGGAAAGCTAAATCAATATTAACAAATATGAACAACTCCTACTTAGACACCCACGTAGTGTTGAATGTTTCGACCGAGGAGCGACGGATTTCATTTGATCGAAGAATAAATACATTTACTATTGAAAATATATTTGTTGTTAATAAGTACTTGAGTCAATTTGACAGCTTTGTTCAACACTCCTTCCTCAGTTCCTTTTTTCGTGTTTAAAATAAGTTCTGACCCTCCTTAACCACAACGCACTGTTTTTTAAGGACTGCAGTCATTACAGGCCTGTGGCTGGGTGTCTACCTTCAAAATGTCCTGTTCTCAGATCAAATGAAAAATGTTGGAGTATTGGCCCAAAAGCAAAGTTTCACCCGTAATTGACCCAGTTGAGTTTCTAGCACTGTTTCATCTTTAAACATTTAAAGCATTCTGTTTGTCTCGTTTTTTACCTTTGATGTTAACAAGCTTTGCTATTTGCCATGGAAACCAGGAAAATAAATATAAAGGAGACGACTGTTATGCAGCTCTGTGAGGAAAAGACCACACAACATGAATACAATTGAGGTAGGTAAGTTGAGGTAACAACACTATAAAATGGTGAAAATGAAATCAAAATTCTAACAGCTGAAGAAATAACATATAAAATGAAATCTAAATAAATAAATTAAACTAAACTAAACTAACTAAAGTTGCTTCTTGTAACATTACATTTCAGTAATGGGACGCTGAAGGCTGTTACAAGAAAACAAATACACATCCCAAAGTGGCTTGCTGGCCGTTGTGTTGATGCTTTTGTGGTTTGGTAGTTTAAGAAGCTGAGAAGGGGTCAGATATATTATTATCCCTCTGTGGAATAAAACCATACTGGCTTAACTTAAAAGAGTCCAGGCTCGTATAATCAAACTGCTGAAAACAGAAATGGAATTGGCCCGCAGTATAAACATATCTCAACTCTCAGCATATTTTATAATGGAGATAATGCGCTGTTGTCTGAGAACAAAAGAGCCTTAATACATAAAGGCGATTCATGGGCCGAGTCACACAATCACGCACACACACAAATGCACACACACTACATAATATACAGGGTTCTTACACCTTTTCCAAAGTCAAATTCAAGCACTTTTCAAGCATTTTCAAGGTGCATTTTCAAGCTTTTCAAGCATCTTACAGCTGTTGTAAATTACATATTTATATACACATACTTATACTCAAATGATTATTTCCCTACCTCACATTAAATCAGATGTTCTTTATGCTATAAACAACCAAATGTGTGTTTCATAATAGCATTCTCCATGAGGATGAACAATTAAAAATGTTAGAAAAGAAAACTAAGTTTAATATTTCAAAATGAGTGACCCATCTGTACGTAGACTGGGCATCCCATATAACCTGGCTGAGCCAATATAAAACAATCAGCCAAATAACTTTTCAATACATTATTGATTACTATTTTTGAGGTACTTTTAGGTTGGCAGTAAACATAAGTCAGAGGTAAATGGTGTACTTTTACTCCACTACATGTATTTAATACCTTTAGTTACTTTACAGATGTGGATGAATGATGTGAAATATAATCAAGTGTTAAATCAGACTTTAGTTCCACCTGGAGTAAATTCACAAGCTACCCTGCAGTATACAAAGTCATTCAAACTAGCTGCACCTTTACCAGCTTTGAGAACACTTTCATGATCAATCATTATAAAACATATCATATACAATTATTAGGGATGCTCCGATCGCCAATTTTGGAGCCGATCGCCGGAATCAGTATCGGCCGATACCGATATCGCTCTCTTTTCCTCTCTCCCCCTCTCTCTCTCTCCTGACAGCCCGTCAGTATCTCCTGCAGCTCACTGATCCAGTAATGAGCGACCCGACAGTGAAGAATAATAAAAATAACTAGTTTAGCTTGTTCCAGAGGTAGATCAAATAGCTAAGTGTGTTAGGTCTAACTCTTAATGTGTGTTCTGCTCCGCTCACCGGTCCGTCACAGCGGGTGGAGCTGCAGGATTTCTGCTTCACACACACGTTGCATACCGCTATTTTATTGTCATTTTCGGACACTTAAAATACTGCCAGACTAGTGAAGCCATTTTGGCGAGCTTGTTTTGCCGCGCACAGAGAAAAGTGTCATGTATTTTACATGCAACGATAGCCTAATCTAAAATGCTCTACTATGGCGTACCTTTCGTGTGGTGTGTGGCTCGTCAGCGCAGACTCTCGCATCATTATTGTTGCACACTTTGCAGGAGGCTACTCTTGGGCTTCGCTTGACCCTCGTCTTAGCCATGGCTTGTATTTGTCTTCTGCTAGCCAACGCTCGTTGAAACGGCAACCTCCTGGCATACTGTCATCTATCACTCATCAGAATGCCCAGGTCACACACGTAACAAAAACACTTGCCGGTCACGCGCATCGCGCGGGAAGGCCGGAGCGGAGCTGTTTTATGTAAAAGCGAAGCAATGAAGCGCGCTCAGACTTCTTTATTTTCTTTTAATCTAAAAAGCGAAGTAAAGCATTTACAATTTCAAGCACTTTATCCCAAATTCAAGCACCATTTCCAAAATTCAAGCACTTTTCAAACCTTGAAAACACCTCGTACAATTTCAAGCATTTTCAAGGATTTCCAGCACCCGTACGCACCCTGAATATACCAACATGCTCCAACTCACTGGAAAGAGTCAGTATGCAGGCAATTATACATGCTGCTGCTCAGTCAATGTCTGCACTTGCAAAAACAGGCACATTGCCAATGATGATAACAAACCGACACAACTGAAACAAATTGTTCATTGTCAATAAGTTTATCATCATAAAGACTTATTGACAATCATTTAATTTTCAACCAAACGTTTCAGCCATTTTCTGGGTCCAGTTGCTTACATCTGCTTCTTTATTTTGTTTCATATCATTGCAAACTGAATTACAATACGATGGCTGACATGATTCCATTAGAAACTCCAGTAACTTGATTGCTAAAAATGTCATCAAGGTTTAAATTAAAGACATTATTTAATATAAAAATACAATCATTTCAATCAAATTGTGTATAAATGTAATGGAATTTGTTTTTAGAAAAATGCAAATTAATCTGGATTTGCAAAGTTACACCAAGATAAAACACACAGAGGATTGAATGTGTGTTGCTGTCTAAACTTGGCCTGGATTGCATTGATTTCTTGATCATAATGAAGTATTAGGAAGCTCCTGGTTTGGGGGGGTGAGGTAACTAACCCGGGGGGAGCATGTAGGAGACGGAGACGGAGTGGCGTAAGACAGACTCAATTTGTTTTATCCAGTTTACTAATTGTTCAGCGTGTCTCGGCAAAGCATCTGTGGGAAATGCAAAATAGCCCGGCTCCCTTGCGACCTTGCTGTTCATGTCAAGGTCGGGGACGATTACAAGATCGTTTGTATTCTCCGAGCGTGGGAGATTAAACGCTTAGCA